CTGGACAAGATAGGGAGCGTAGCAAGGAAATTACGTGCCCTGGAAGAAAAGGTGGAGGAGAAGGCGGGAGCGAAAAAACACACCTTGGCTAAATCTCCCTTTTCGGCCAGGGTACATGCGCAGAGGTTGAGGCGGAAGATTAAGCTGGACGTGGAGAAATTCACAGGAAAGGAGGATCCAAACGTCCACCTTGACACCTTCCACAATGCAGCACAGATGGACGGGTGCACTGATGCCGAGGAATGCTTGCTCTTCTTCTCATCCTTGAGAGGGAGGCCTGTGGAATGGTTTAACGGCCTTCCCCATGGCAAGATTGGGTCCTTTGAGAAACTTGCTGAAGTTTTCCGCAAGAAGTACCAGGACAACTACATCAAGAGAAAGAAGTTTACTTACCTTAACACGGTAGGGCAGAGGGAGAAAGAGACCTTGACTCAATTCTTAACCCGCTGGAGGGACGAGGTTGACAAGGTAGAAGAGATGGACGATAAGATGGCCATGTCTTTGTTGATGAATGCCTTCCGGTCAGGTGACCTCTACACTGAATTCTGTAGGAGGCCGCCCCCCTCTTATCAGGAAGCCTACAATACGGCATGGGAATATGCCGAGGCAGAAGTGCTGAACAAGAATAAGCGGGAGCTGGAAGAAGGCTACACAAAGTCGAAATCCGACAAGCTAAAGAAGGATGAGCAAACAGGAGGGTCCAAACTAAAGGCCACATATGACGGATCCATCCACCAAATAAGGGATGATAAGAAGGGAGAGCAACCCAAGAGACAATGGACGGAGAAGTGGTGCACATACCACCAATCTGATTCCCACAACACGGCGGATTGCCGAAATGTCAAGGCTGTGCTCAAGGAGATGGCCTTGAAAGGAGAGCTTGGGGAAGGTTACGCGACGGGTAATAAGAAACCCGAAAGCGAACACCTGGACCCGTCATCAGGGAAAAGACCAGGGAAGGAGAAAATCCGGGAAGGATAACAACAATCCGGATAAAGAATTTATACAGATGATTGTCGGCGCCCAGAAGGCGGGGATACTGCCTCCCAACGGAAGAACTGGGCCAGGAGCTTGCACGTAGCTGTTTCCCTGGAGTCACATGGGAAGCAGGCAAGGAGGGAACCTATCACTTTCACTGATAGGGATCTGCCCAGGACGGAAGGAGATCATAATGACCCTTTGGTCATTACAATGGACATCAACGAGGCTGATGTGGCTAGGGTCCTGGTTGACACAGGAAGCAGTGTCAATGTTCTATACTTGGATGCTTTCAAGAAATTGAAGCTGGACAGGTCCAAGCTGAGGCCATTGCAAACCCCATTGTCAGGCTTCACTGGAGCCAGCATAGAAGCGGAGGGTCAGATCACCTTACCAGTTACTTTGGGGTCGGGTAACAAAATAGTAACCAAGCAAATGAGATTTGTTGTGGTTGATATCAAGTGTGTACATAATGCCATTCTTGGTAGACCTGGGATCAACCAGGTCAGGGCCATCATTTCTATGGCACACTTGTGCATGAAATTCTACACTCCCAATGGGATCGGGGAGGAAAGGGGTGATCAAAAGAACGCCCGGTCCTGCTACCGGGAAGCAGTCAAGAAGATGACCCGCCAGTTCGAACAAATTGAATTGGTCTCCCAGCAGGTAGACAAGGGTGAGGAGAAGGCTAGGATCGAGCCGGATGCAAACACGGAGGAGATCCAGATTGATGCCTCCAATCCTGAGAGGAAGGTCAAAATTGGGGCTGACCTTCAGGAAGAGCTAAGGACTGAGATTGTCCAGGTGTTGACCAGGTATAAATCATTATTTGCCTGGAGTGTTGCTGATATGCCCGGGATTGACCGGTCAGTCATTTGCCATCGTCTCTCTGTTCTTGAGGGGTCTAGGCCTGTAAGACAGAAGAAGAGATTTTTGGCAAGTGATAGGAGGGACTTTGTGAAGAAAGAGGTCAAGGACCTACTTGAGGTAGGTCATATCAGGGAAGTAAACTACCCTGAATGGCTGGCCAATGTAGTCCTGGC